AAAAGATTTTGTTACAGATTGTAAAGGGATGGTTCCAGGTTTTCAAAACAAACAAAAAAACACAGACAGCGTTTCCACATTAATCCAACTAACTAAGATTGTACACACCTTTTACACTGCATGGCTCTCTAAGCTATGGTTATAAGCCTCACTGTCCATTATGTCAGATATTAGACGGTCAGAGGCGCAATAGGTCAAATATGTTGGTACCCAAAGAAAAGTCTTCTACAAGAAATACACGTGAAGTATAAAAGCCTTAGAAGTTATGGGCAAGAAAAAGTATTTCGGACAAACAAATAAACATATTGATTGACAGACCAAAAACCATGGTCCTCTCGAATCATCGACAACGAGGGCAGAAAAAATTTAGTTTGTAGAGTTCGTTGTACATTTGATTATCAATAGCTTTAAACCATGTATACAAACGATTAGAGCAGATGCCCTTTCTGTTCTTGGTCCGACTTAATTACAGACAAGTGACGCAACAAAGCTGCGATACGAAAGGGTCTCATTTGGTAAAATCGACCCAAGATCCTTAAAGTTTTATCCACATGGTTTAAAAACAATTCTTGGTGTCAAGGGACCAAAAGGGGTAGCAATACCATTCATGATCAAAAAAAAATATCCTCAAAACTAATGAAATAAAGTGAAGTTTCGCTATAAATAAATTCAAATCAAAGTTTAAAACTGGACAGTCCCAAATTCAAAATGAATTTGAAGAATTCGAACAAATTAGAGATTGGAAAATTTACTAATGCAAAATATGCTAATTATGGGAATGAAATGTGCTATTTTGTAAATTATGAGTCATTCTGAGTCTCAATCTTTCCGTGTATAAAAAAAATTAATCAGTGTCACTAAATTAATGTTGCATATTCTTTCTTCTGCAAACAAGACAAAGTAAAATTAAAATAATTTTACAAATGAAAATTTCACACCGACAAATTTCTAGATGAGAAGTAAGCCTAAGGTGATAATTTTCTTTGTCTTTTTACAATGAAAAATTATTAGCAATCAGGGGCCCATTTTACAAAAGAACTTTTGAGTTTAAGGAGTATTTTATTCACGATATACATAGATGTATATACAATGAATATGGATTGAACAGCAGGCAAAAATGGCCTATATTAGTTCTCTCCATTAAAGATCAAGGTACAAATCATGAAATGTTACAATAATATATATCACAACTTTTACAAAGACATGTATTTTAAACTAATTTTTAAGGAGGATACAATGTACAAAATTGAAAAAAGAGGGGAATTGAACAATAAAGTGGAATAATGAAAGGAAAGAGAGAGAGAAAAAAAAGAGAGGGTGGGGATAAGGGAAAAAGGGAAAAGGCTCAGAACCATGTATGTATATGTACTTTCAGTCTACATGCTGCACATTAATGCTTATTACATTTTCACATTCTAAAATCTTTTAGTATTTTTTTATAAAATTATGAACTTGATCAAATAGTAACAAATTTTCTTTAAGAGATAGACAATCATAACCAGACAATACAATATTGATATCTCTTGGTCATGATCAATCATATATGTAATCAAAGAGTTCCTGGCAAGATCATAACATGGGCATTGAAAGAAAAAATGAACAGAATCTTCAAAAGAATAACCATATTTTAAGCATTTAGGTGAACCAACTAAGTTATGATTAAACACATCTGCATTAAGATTACTTGACAAGTTTCTCAACTGACAGTGGAATATATTTAATTTCCTTTGTCCATAACTGTATAATTTTGATTTTATTTTATCATCAAGATTTTTATTTTGTTTACTTTGTTTGAATTTAGCTACACTTGTTGCAGATTTCGTGCTATCTGGCAAATCATTCCATAACTTAATTGTAGATGGTAAAAAACTATTATAATATGCAACTGTTCTAGTGATTGGTATGTGATACAAATTATTATTGCGTAAAGCATAATTGTGTGAAAACAGGTAGACACTGTTTAACCATATCATGCAAATATTCAGGTGTATAATTATTAAGTATTTTGTACATAAGTGTAAGCTTGTGTTTAGTTCTTCTTTCACTCAGTGTTTCCCATCCTAATTCTTTATATAAATTTTGTTTCGAAGAATTGCGCCTTAAAGTAGTCCAGTAATGATACGCCCAGCCTCTACTTGTACACTTTCTAATAGATTACTCTGCTCCTGTGTACAATTATCTCACACTACATTGCCATATTCTAAAATAGGTCTAATGAATGCAATATAAATTCTAATAAGGGAATCCCTGTTTAGTTTATATTTGAGTGTGCGAAGAACATTTAAACGTTGGCATGCTTTGTCATATATTTTGGAGATATGTTCGGACCAACCGCCATTGGATTGCATTATAAGTCCAAGGTGACAATGACTTTGTTTCTGTTCTATGTAGTTACGTGTGTAACCAAATTGAAATTTGTGGATGTGATTTATTTGACCGTGTAAAATTAACATTTACAGTTTTATTAGGGTTAAAATCCACCATCCATTGTCTGGACCATTGTTTAATTTTTTCCAAGTCATCTGTTAAAGAGAGGGTAGGGGCTAATGTATCAGAGTCTACAATAACAAACAAAGAAGTATCATCTGCAAATAACCTAATTTGATTTTCTAAATTTACAGTTATGTACAAAAGAACTTACGACTAAGATCAAAATTTAATTTTGTTTATAAATTTTTAATTTACATCACAATGAAAATGGTTTTAATCTTTTAAAATGGAATGTAGTAAGATGTTTTTACGCTAGCAATTTTAAACGGAATCATCAATTTTTTTTCAAAATTTTACAATCAACTTAAGTTTTCGGTCTTAGTCGTAAGTTCTTTTGTAAAACGGGCCCCAGATGTTTTATATAATGAAACATAATGTTTTGTTTTTGAATATAATTGAACATTGTAACAAGAAATTCTATTTGGGGATGAATTCCGGATTGTTCCTGTTTTGCAAACATTTGAAAATCATGCAGAAGTGTGAAACAAGAATTTGCTAGAGTAGGCAGAATAATCAGTGTGTTAGGTTTCGGGCTTACAAGTGTTTCACAATTACAGTGTGAGATGAAGCAAAGTAAGAAATTCATAAAGTTTGAACTTTTTTTTTTAAGTGACAAAAAATCAATGATAATAATAAAAATATCCGTTGTATATTGTCTTACGGCATTTATTTGATATATAGCTTAACATTTCACTTTCTGACTTCCCTGCAATATTAAAAGCACTATCAGCCGTGTCTTCCACTTTAAATTGGCCTTTTAGAATCAAAGAACACCTCTTCGATTCAATCATTTGGGATGCACTGAGAATGTCATTTCAAATAACGTTTCTTTATTTCGACCACGAATTTCAATATTTTTTTTTTCAATTTTTTTTCTTTCATTTTGTTTTCACCCACTCATACCCTGGGAGATTATAACTCCCACAACAAGATGTGTTCATTTATTTTTTTTTCTTTAATTTCAGAAAATGTCAAGAAATTAAGATTTAAAAAAAAATGTATGTTTTTCATTTAGATTCATCTCATAAATATCTCTCTCTCTCTCTCTCTCAAAATGGTTCAGTGAAACTTAGCAAATACCTTGCAACATGCGTATCTGTGTGTAGAACCACAGTGAAATATTCCATAATTAAATGCACAATTCAATTCGGACAGGTTTTATTAGACTGTTGTAAGGCTAATATAGTTGATGTAACATTTCCAGCAACTATACATGGATAACTTTTGTGCAAATTTTGATGTTTTTAAATTCAATTTAAAGAAAGTGTCTTTTCGGTATGATATCAATGCCCCCCCCCCCCCCCTTTGTTGTTTTAATGTCGAGCTTTGGACAGTTTATGATTTTTTTCCCGTCTTTATTATTTTTTTAATCTATTATTTTTTTTTTTTTTTGCTTGTTAGATTATTTTAGGAAGTTGCCCTCCCTTTTTTTGGTCAGCTTATATATATATATATATATATATATATATATATATATATATATATATATATATATATATATATATATATATTGCTTGTCAGATTTTTTGGACTTGCCCACTTTTGAAACCGTTGCTACGTGGATACAGTGTAATTTATGTAATTTTTGATAACTCGTTTTGTTATGAATATTAAAGATTTTGCATTTTAAGGTGTTACAGAAACATAATAAATTAAACCCAGGGGAGAGAGAGCCTCGTTCGGTCAAGTTGCTATTTTTCGAGCGATATTTTTCTGCCAATAATAATGCAGTAAGAATTCTACTAGATATGGATGGATTTTAGTTTGCCTCAGTAATCTTAGTTGATTAATCTTTTTTCAGAGGAATTGGGGAAAATGTGCATGTTCAAGTGACATATTTTTTTTTTCAATTTGGAAATGAATATGACATTTTCAATGAGGCAAATTTAGTCTCATCCTATCTAGCAATGAATTTTGCTTGTAATTAGATATTACACTGTCAGTTTGAAAATTAAGGAAATGGATAAAGTTTTTGAGATATTAAGCAGGCATTGTGGGCTTTATGACCCCTCATCTCCATTAAGTGCCTTTGTTGGGGAAACTCGGGGGGAAATTCAATCACAGTTAATAATTAAAGATATTCATTCAATAAATCACCATTAGCATTAAGGATCTTAGATTAAGGGACCTGTAGAGCATTATTGATCTGAAATTTCAAGATAGTATACCTATATTGATAATATAATATTGGAGATCACGAAATATTCAAATTATGCAACAATATAAACGTATACTGGAAAGGTAATCTACCGGTGTAACAGTTCCCATGGAAACTGAAGTAATCAGTATCCAATAAGTATACGTATGCTCTCGGAACGTAAAAATTTCTAGCATGAATTAAGAATCTGTCATCAAGAAGCTTTAGAGGGAATACAATGTATGCGTTTTTTTACTTCGGAATTTAATGATTAATTAGATGTGATTTACGAGATTTGTAATCACTGCCTTAAAACATATAGCGTTAATTTTCTTTCTCAATCCGTACAACAAACTCGGTATTGATTATATATCATGTTAAGAAAAAGGAGCTCCTGCATTCCCTAGCCGCGATGTGGCGCGGACGAATGTTGTCATTTATATCAACTTATACCCATAGCTTCCCCGCTAATTAGGGGGACCTCAGTAATTAGCAGATCTCTAACACACCATGCAACAAACGAGGAAGACGGGAAATTTAAAGTATGATTATAAAATACCAATATGAAATTTTGCTCTGATTTGGTAAAAGTGCTTGTTTTGGCGCTGGTGGCACTTAAAAACTCTGTATACACGGGTGAGTGATATTTGTTTTCTTTTATTGATATGAGTTTTTTTATTAATAATAGTTGACCTTTTCCTGAAATTTAAAAAGTAGAAGCATAATGTATATTTAAAAATCAAATTTTATTTACAGACATGCATTTTATCGAATTTAAATATCTCTACTTGTTTCAGTAACTTCATCCCTTAAAAAAGGCAGTAAGGTATTGATTCAGTACTTATTTTGTGTGTTTTTTTTTTTAATTTAAACTTAGGTTATTTCTATCCAGCATTTTGTTACAATATTTTAATATATTTTATTACATTTACAGGACATTATCTTAAATTTCTAAACTGTGTATCATTCCCGCTATTGTGAATTAAATCTTCGATATGCTAACCTCATGTATACTCTTTGATAATATCTCTTTTGATGTGCCTGTTTAATTTAATTTCCCAAGTCAAAAAAAAAATCCGATTTACGATTCTGATTGATAAACTCTGCTAAAATAAAAGAAAATACTGGTTCTAATTAAGGTTTCTACGCAGGTTACAATCTACGGAGAAATGCGCAGCAAAAATGTTTGATTTGTGGGTGCATGTAGACATTCCAAGAAATCGGAGCAAAATGAGACCGATTTCTGATCAATAGCATTACGATATTAATCTTGTGGAGAATAGTTCTTCTAATGAATACGAGAAACATCTGCCTAGGAACGTAACCATACTATTATATCGTTAAACTTGAACGCGACAAAACTATATGGGAGGGATATCATAAAATGAAATGAAAAATCTACAGAAGAGATGCTTCGGATTAAGCTGTATGTTTTATCAAAACATTGGTGATTTGACGCCAGAAAAGCTAGTTGGTATTAAATTGGTTGTGAAAAGGTAACATGAACTTTATTTTTGTTGTAGATGACGGAAGTTGCTCAGCATTGGGATCAAAATCGATACATATGAATGAAGACATTTTGGAGTTTATAGATAATAACCAACGCTGGGGCAAATCTCAATCAAAGTTGAAAGAGTGTAGTAAAAACAGCTTCTACCAGAACGGTAAAGAGATCTGGAGTCCAAGTCACATGAATGATCGGCGGGGAAAAGGTTTATCTATTAAAAAGAAAGAACAGCGACGACTCAAAGGGTCGAAGAGAATGAGAAAAATAAAGAAAAAGAGGCAGCGATGGAAGAGACACAAACAGAAAATGAGATGAAAAATGAAGTCCCCTTTGTCCATTATAAACCGGATTTCTAAATTTCAAGACACGTGACTTTGTTACGGATGAACATGTCGTATCTGTTGCAGTGTGCGATGTTTCATGAGCACAGTATTAGGATGAAGGAGATCTCGACAGCCTATTTCCTGTCAAATGCATAAGATGAAGCCCCGAAGCAGTGTGATTGATGCTTAAGAATCGATTTTCTATCCACTATAATTCGATCTATGTGAAGGCTTATTATACATCATGACAAACTTGGCTTGTTATAACTTGAGCGTTAGAGCATAAGAAATTGTTAAATGAGGTATGCAAGGCCTCCTAGAGGACAATTTACAAGATGAAAAATAAATTCTAGAAAGGAGTTTTCATTGGAACATAAGAAAATATCTTCTCTTTTTTGCCATTAATGTGATTTATGAGGGGTGTATTAGTGTTTTCTTTGAGATATATATATATATATATATATATAAAAGATCGACCTGTTGTTTCAATAATTTTATCACATGTGCTTAAATTATTTCTACCTCGACACAGTCTTATATCCACTTTATAAAGTGGTAACAATATAGTAAAAATTACAAAGTTAATGATATATAGACAGTTTTTGATACACATGAATTTAGCAAGACTTGATTCCCGTTGGCCGCCATGAAAGTCAACATGCTCAGATTTTTTATTATTATTATTATTATTTAACCAATTCTAACTTGTCATACTGGCCATTGTGGTAGGAAAAAAAAAAGAAAAAATCTTAATAATATACATTTGTTAAAGCCTACATTAGAGCAGAATTTCCGTTGTATAAAGACCCCCACCCAATATTTCTGCTTTATTTGTTTAAAGCAATATAAGCTTCTGATGTCGGAAATTTTTTGTTGCAATATTGTAATTAACTATTTCAATGACAGTAAAAAAGAATGTTTATCAACTTTTGTTGTTCATATTTGCGAAGAAGAACTGTTTATAAGTTTTGATTGAAGCAAAATTCTATTAATGTCATCCTGTACAATATTGATTTCTTATGTAATACTATACATTAATTCTATTGTACAGAAATCTTTCTTCTGAAACAATTTAATACTTATTTTAAACTAATTGATCATACAGGTTTGAATTACATACAAATTTATCATAACAGCACATTTTAATAGCAAAATAAAATTTTCAAAAATGTAGCTCATATTGCTTTAAGGACATACGCAACGTAGTTTAAACTTTATTGTCTTTTTCCCTGGATTTGAAGAGTTCCAATACTTAAAGGAACTGTGTGCTACATTTTTATAATATTTCTTTTCAAAGTGCGTTAATATCGACCATATTAACGCACTTTGAAAAAAATATGTGCACGGCTTGGTCAATGTTCTTGCAAATTTTAGGTATGATAAATAATTTTTTGAACCTGGTTGGATAACTTTTCGGTCATGACGTCAGGATCTGAGATATAGACGTTTTAAAGATTTTTAGGAGTTGTCTTGTTTCCAAAGGTTCTCGTAACTGTTATAAAAGGGAAATGGGTCTTAGAAATAATGGAGGAATGATTGTTTAATAGCACAGTATCGTTTCTTTTTTTCTTTTCTTTTTTAAAAATTTTATCCAGTCTCTATGACTTAAAACATCGCATTTTTCTTTCGGGAAGAGGGAGCAATTATGACTTTTCCATACCATGAAAATTCTCTCTCTCTCTGTCATCTATTTTTCTATCATATTCATCTATCTATCTATTGTGAACATATACGAAACAATGGTTGACTCATTTATTTGATAGTTAGAAAGTAAACTTTAGCCACATTACTCACTCGACTGAAATTTTTACCTCGTTCACTAATAACTTTTTCTCAAAAAAGTTATTCAGTCAAATTACTTCTAAATCTGTAATTTGATATCATAAAAACGCTAGACATGTCAAATAGCATGTTTTAATTACCATGTAAATGCATTTTTTCTGAGGAATCATTGTTTGATACATTTTGAATAAAGGTTATGAGGTTCTCTTCTTTAATATAATAGGGTTCATAATTTTTTTTTCAGGAAAGCTTATCTCAATTTTTTTCATCTATTTTACGTTAACTCAAATTTATTGAGAGAAATAATATCAATGTCATACCAGTTATGTAAATACATATATTTGTGTAGGAAAGATAGAGAGTTGGGCTGAGGGACTTCTACCTGTCTTCTCCTCATTCTCGATGAGGGTAGATCAATTCATCAGTTTTTCTGAAGAAATATAACAAATTAATGCTGATAACAAATTATAATGCTGTCTATTATTAAAAAAAAATTTATACGTATTTTTTTCAAAGTGCGTTAAGTGTCTCCAAGGTAAACAATGTTGATGTACACTCTTAACGCACTTTGAAAAAAAATTTCAAAGTGCGTTGATTTTGTCCAAAATTTAACGCACTTTGAAAATTTTTTTCAAAGTGCGTTGCCACAGAGCCAGTCAAAAATTCGGTGTTACATGAACTGCAAATGTTTTGAAAGAAGGGTAGACAACGAAGTCAACGACATGTATTGACGAACAGAAATCACTTTTACTAACTTACATGTAACGTCCCAATTCGTACCGATCATAAATTTTCCTATCCAAAAAAAAAAAAAAGTTTTAAGTGCTTGATATGCAGAATGAGCCTTTTATTCCAGAGAATAAAGGTTTATTAACCTTCAAAAAAATCTTTATGAAATACAATATTTAGTGCTAATTAAATGAAAAATTATATCTCGTCACAAAAAGTACAGTGAATTACGTTACTAAATTCTATTGCCATGAAACCCTATAACTGTTCGTGCTTTCCATGGTTAAATAATATTATTCTTTGTTGAAAATATATTGTTTTGTTAAAAAAAAAAAAATTAAAAATTCCATTATCGTCTATAAAAATAAAAGTTTCCGTTTTTCTTTGTTGCTGTTTTTTTTTTTTTTTTTTTTTTTTGATGAACTAGGTTATCATATCAGTTTATCTTTAATACAGGGCCTACATAGAATTCAAATAATTTTTTGATGATCTATCAATAATGCCATCAATTTAATTAATCATAACGATTTCAGAATGCTGTATTTTTTTAAGGCCAAAAAATCATTTGATTTGTGAACTACGTTACAGTGATTTACGTATATTTGTTTCGTGTTATATTCATAGGTAATCCAGCTTATGTTAAAAACTAGATAAGATAAGATATGTTTTATTACTAATTCAGTGCCCATATGGGCATAAAGTGAACAACCTTAAGAAGGAAAAGGCCTAAAAGATAGGTGAAAGAAAGAAAAAATACAAACATGTACAAGTAAGTTGTTACATAAAAATTTAACAGTGTTATACCATTATTTATTGATATCAGACTGACTAAGATTTTTACATTCATCACATGCAAAATGTAATAAAGATGATTTTGACATATTTTCTAATCTATGCCAATTAATATATATATATAGGATTGTAAACTAAGGATGATTGAACAATACATGCGTTATCTACCAAGTTCAGACAGAATAGCAGTATTTGTACTCCTTTTACCAGCACCAAGAATAAATTTATAATAATATGTAATATTTTTGGCCTCATTTATGCTCCTTTCATTATGTTCAATAGGTTTCTCCAAAATTGGTTTATATCTCTTTGAATGGTGATATGTGTAAAGGATTTTTGAAAAAAAATTCTACTGAAAAAATGTCCCACATGTATCTACTGGGCATTTGTATCATGTTTTCACAAACATTCTCACGTTCAAAAGAGGATAATAATTTCATAGACAATCTACAATGACAGTCTGAGAGTGGTATAGAATTTGCAACATGAACATATAGAATATCTTATGAAAGTTCCTCTGAAACAATAAAATAATCTACAACACTAGATCCTGTATAATTATGAAATGTATAGTGTCCATGACAATCACCAGAAGTTCTGCCATTAGCTATTCTTAGTTTGTTTGTAATACACATTTCTATAGTAAGTCTTCGCCTCTGCAGTCTAGCGTTTTGTCTCCATTGTGTCTAACCCCAATCTCTACATCAATATTATACATTTCATTGTCTATAGGAATGTAAGAGGTTGAATCTCCCCTAATATAATCAGAGTCAATACCAAAGTCACCTGTTAAGAAAATATTCCCAAGCTTGATATATTTACTGATGATATCATTCTCTATCACTTCTAATACGTCTGTATTTTGTGTTCTGTTACATGTAAAAGATGGTGTTTCTGGGGATATATATGCTAAACATAAATAAACATTTTTCTTACATTTAAAAAAAAATTTTTAGCTTGAGATATTGAAATTCCGAGGATGTGTTTTGTAATATTGCAAGACCTTTTCTTATATTTTTCTTAATAGGAATGCCTAATCCACCATGTAGTATCTGTTGATGGAAGCTTTTTTCCTACATATAGGATAGTACATAAAACCATCTACATGTATTTCAATATATGTTTCGTAGCCAATTTGTAAATCTATTATGCTATTAAACACTACCGAAAATGTTCTCTTCATTATTAGAGAATGTATCGCTATATTAGGTATGAAATGTAGTGGACGTTTTTAAATGGCCACAACTTAAAGTCATATATGGCGTATTTTTGACAAATTCAGACTAACTAAAATTAAGATCTTTCTATTTGTTTTATTACTTTATATAAAGATAGGACTTTCCTGTAAATTGCACAATTTAAATCAATCGCTTTTCATAGATACTGGAAATTTAAAACAATAACTGATTTATTTACCGACTCCGCATTTAAATATCAGACACAGTTTAAAGTCAATTTAACTATAGAAACGTGGGGTTATTCAAGTTCAAAATCGGTGAAATGCGTGAAATGTGGAAAATATTTGCAAATAAAGTTAATTTAACATGGTTCAGTATAATTTTCAGAATGCTTCAACTTCTCTTACTTATGCAGCAATATACCCTTATCACCTGCATATGGGGTGTATATCTCTCAGTTGATTCGATACGCAAGAGCATGCTCTACGTATGAACAATTTCCAAAACGAGGTAAGTTATTGACAAACAAATTGATGAAACAAGAATATCAACAATCTCCTTTAATGTCATCATTTCGTAAGTTCTATGGTTGATTCAATGACCTTGTCGGCAATACAATTTATCATTAAGTCATATGCTGACTGACCTTTTTCATACTAATTGTTAGGCCATTATTTACACACTGAAATTGTCGACGGATTTTTTCGTTATATCTCGATCATGACAAGGAGCACACGGCGGTTCGGCAGGGGATGCTCACTCCTCCAGGGCACCTGATCCAACCTCTGATGTTTTTGGATGTCTGCTCTCCATTTGTATTGTTTTAATGGACTTTGAGCTTGAATACTGTTTGTTATCTCCGTATATTTCATGAGCATTTGGCATCTTCTTCGGTGGGCCTTTCCGGCAAGCTCGGAAAGACCTGAGAAGTTGCGATTGCTTAAATAGGTTACAAATTTAGCACACAGTAAATGTCAATTCAATTTTCACAATGTAGTAATCGTGGCTTGTATAGATTTTTAATATTTTTTATAATTTACGAATTAGGATGAGGAGTTCCATAGACTGCATGGTTTTTGGTTATCATGGTTATTATGCCCGTCTCTATCGTATGAAAAATATTGTATATCGCGCATGTCAGACAGGCAAGGCCAGTTTAGTCTAAGGAGTTCCAACGCATTGAATCTCTCCGGCTCGTTCTGGCCCAATTGCATTATGATCTTCTAGGGCCTTTCTGGCTAGCTCGGAAAAACACCTTGAGGTTATTGAAATTTCCTCTGGTCGGAAAGGACCGAGAAGTTGGGATTGGCTCTGGCCATGGATATGAAAATTATTATACGATTATTGTTCCCTGTTTTTCTCTAAAAAATTCAACAAGAATATTCCTTACTGTTACATAAGGAAAAGTTTCATTCTTGTTTCTAGTTTTACACCGTTCCAAGGTTCCGGAAATTTTAATCGGTATTTTCTCCTGAATAGTATATAAAAAGTTGGATCCGGTGTTGATTTCACAACTCACAACGACAACACGGTGAACACAGACAACATCTTGTTATTTAAGCCACTTGAGGGCATAAAAAAGAAAGAAAAACTGGACTTTTCATAAATATGGTAAAGAAAGATTGACAAAAAAGAACAACTGATACATAATCTCTCTTATGGTAGTCACTCAAGGGAGAGGGGGAGAGGGTAAATTAGGCTACATAAAGTTCAGTAACGCATATCCCTCTTATGTATAGAGAACACTCAAGAAGGTGTTATAATGAAAAGAGGGCAAGAAAAATTAAAAGAGTAAAGTGTTGGAAATGTTAGTAGGGTAGACTTAACTTCACGGGTCCCCAGATCCGCAAGATCGGCACGCTCAGTCAGTGCACTATGTGCATCCAAGAGATTAGTGTTAGTCCTCGCTCATCCTGGGTTAGTCTAGCATCTGATCTAGAGATTTGGGTTATTCCTTGCATACCATCTGAGAGATTAGGGTTGGTGTCTTGTTTTTTTAGATTAAAAAAGAAATTCAATATTTTTTGCAAGATCTTAATTCAGCTTCAACGACATCTCGTTGGTTTGTTTATTGCTGATACATGAAAAAAATAGCTAAGTACGAAAGAAATGGCACTAAGCATCTGTCGCATGCGCTACATTGACAATTATTTTAATTTTTGGTCTCCTTTTCATTGAATAAATGATATTTATTACTTTTTTCAGAGAATGAGGTTAAAAACTTGGTTTAAAAATCAAGTTTTAAACTAAACTTTTTAACCATAGAATTTGATTTTGGGCTAAAAAAGGCTTGAAACCTCATACTTTTTAATTTTTTTTTTTCGCTCACGCGATCTCGTATACTGTAGTCGCATACAGTGACACTGTCTTTTAGCGTGTTTTTCTGGGGACCAGTAAAGTAAAATTGTTCCTGACCAGTTAGTAAAATCTAATCTAATTGTGCAATGAAATAAAATTAAGAGTGATATAGACAGATAGACATGTAAATTTATACAGTTTATAGTTTATACATGAACTTATATGAGACTTAAATATTTACATGGCCCTACATTAAGTTTAATTACTTATCAAGAACACAAGGTTGTAGACTGTGTGCAATCTTCAATTGTCAGAATGTTGAGAATAAGCTATCCAATACTTTCTTCCATTTTAAGCTGTCAACCAGCAATCTATTTTAGGTCTCCATAAGGACATACACAACATACCTTACCTACTGATAATTTTTCAAGATATTCTTATGGTAATTTAAAATTATAGTACCATTAGATGTTCACAAACAAAAACAGCAGCATGCAATACCAGGGGTTTTGAATAGATATTAAATGATGAAAACTCTTGTATTATTCAAAGAAAAAATGCAAAAATTACTAAACATATATTCTAGATGTTCTTCATCCAAATTTGTTTTAGAAGAGGTGTATAGCACCATATATAGATATTTAAAGAGTAGCACACAGGTCCGTCAAGTATTGGAACTCTTCAACTCTAGGGAAAAAGACAATTATGTTCAAATTACGTTGCGAATGTCCTTAACAAACAAGGAAAAAAAAGATTTTTGTGAGAGACATGAAATTTCCTTAGCAACTTTTCTTTTTGGGAGGTAGTCTATCATAGATCTAAAAATCATATTTTTAGCTCACCTGAGCTGATAGCTCAAGTGAACTTTTCTGTTCACATTTTGTCTGTCCTCCTTCTGTAAATTGTTCACATTTTCAACTTCTTCTCAAGAACCTATAGGCTAATTTCAACCAAACTTTGCCACAAAGGATCTTTAGATGAAGGGGATTCAAATGTGTTCAAATGAAGGGCCATGCCCTCTGTCATGGGGAGATAATCAAGTTATAGTGAAAAATTGGTGGCATCTTTCAAAAATCTTCTTTTCAAGAACCATTGAGCAAAAAAAGTTAAAACTTATGTGAGACCTTCATTACGTAGTATAGATTCAAATTTATTCAAATCATGACTCCCAGGGCAGGGTGGGGCCACAATGGGGGGGGGGGGTCAAAGTTTAACATAGGAATATATAAAAAAAATCTTTAAATCTTCTCAAGAACAGCCATGCTATGATTAGTCATATTGGTATGAAAGCATCCTTAGGTAGGGTAGATTCAAATTTGTTCAAATAATGACCCCAGGGGGTAGGGTTGAGGCCAAAATGGGGGATCAAAGTTTTACATATGAATACATTGGAAAAAATCTTTTAAAAAAACATTTTCTCAAGAACAGCAAAGCCATGATTACATGTAGTCATACTGATATAGAAGCATCCTCAGGTAGAGAAGATTCATGAACCCTGGGTGTAGGGTAAGGTAGGGGCTAAAATAGGGGATCTAAGTTTTACATAGGAATATATTGGAAAAAAATTCTTTTAAAGTCTTCTTCTCAAGAAAACAAAGCCATGATTACCTGGTAATCATTTTGATTTGGAAGCATTCTCAGGTAGTGTAGATTCAAATTTGCTCAAATCATGACCCCACCCCCTCCCCAGGGCAGGGTGGGGCCACAATGGGGGATCAAAGTTTTACACAGAATATATAGGAAAAAAATCTTTATAAGTCTTCTTCTCAAGAAAAGCATATTAAGCCATGATTCAATCTAATTGAAATGAGATGTTTCATTCACTTCCCAATTTTTTATATGTCAAGACATATAAAAGAAATCGGGGAGCTAGTGTAAGATCTTATTTTAATTAGATTGATTAGTCATAATGATATGAAAGCATCAATTCTCAGGTAATGTAGATTCAAGTTTGTTTGAATCATGACCATGGGGGGTAGGTTGGGGCCACAATGGGGGATCAAATTTTTACATAAGAATATATAGGAAAAAACCTGCTGATGATGAAGAAACAGGCCATATTGACTCAGGTGAGCATTGTGTCCTATGGGTCTCTTGTTTTAATAATTAGTACAGGTCTCTGTTTTGTTTTGAAAAAGAAATAAGCTTTAATTCTTCTCACATAAGTAGTGATTTTGACCCAGAATTGCTAGAATTGAAAATCTTCCATAAAATGTGTGAAAGTGGGCCATAACATGGATTGTGCTAAATTTAATGATTACACCAAATAAAATATATATTACCCATAATCATCTTAATGATGTGTAGTTTAAATGAACTTGTTTTTGTAGTTGTAGATCATTTGCGTGATGGACACAGAAAAACAGGGTTACTTAGGGAAGCTTGAAGATAAGTCGATTTCAGAGCTTCAGGAATTATTGGCTAGACAAGAAAATATTCTCAAAAAAACGTATGTTGGTTTGTATATTTCAAAAGTTTATGTAACTGAAAAGGTAAAGTAATCATTACAGGAGCATCAACAGTATTTGACATTGGGGAGGCGAACTGGTTGGAAAAGGTGAATCTGACTAACCTGTTCTGACTAAAATTCAGTTTTCACCAATTCTTTACTTTTTCCCATTTTTTCAATGGCCTAACGACACTATCTGATAACAAGAGGCCATGGGCCACAACACTCACCTGAGTTACTTTTGGTCCTGCTGTTCTTCACCAGATCCCCTCCCCTTTTATTATTATTGTGGCCCCACCCTACCCCCAGGGGCCATGATTTGAACAATTTAGAATCTGCACTACCCCAGGATGCTTCCACATAAGTTTCAGCTTTTCTGGCCCAGTGGTTCTTGAGGAGAAGATTTTTAAAGATATTGTCTATATACTTTGATTCCCTATTGTGCCCCCCCCCCCCCCCCCCCCCGGGGCATGATTTGAACAGATTAGAATCTACACTACCCCAGGATGCTTCCACATAAGTTTCAGCTTTTCTGGCCCAGTGGTTCTTTAGAAGAAGATTTTTTAATGACCCCACCCTATTTTTGTCTTTTCTTGATTATATCCCTGTCTAAGGGGAGTTGGCCCTTCATTTTCACAATTTAACCCCCCACCCCCACCCCACCCTTCACCCAAGGATGCTCTGTACCAATTTTCATTAAAATTGGATGTGTGGTATACAATTTTTGATTTTCTATTTTATTTTATTTTTATTCATAATTTTTTTTACAAAATTGTGGGGGTGGTGACCACCACCCCTGCTGCCCCATTGCTGACGGCCTTGCATCATGAGGATATTACAATTAAAATTTACTTGTACAGTGTGTAGTCTTAATATGTTTAGTTCACTGTTAATGTTAAGGTATCAAGTCAACTCATGACCTGACCAACTTGTAATCAAGTCAGCTTGAACCCTAAAGGTCAACTCGTAACTAAATGACAAAGTGAACTCATAACCAAGACCCTGGTTACAAGTTCACTTTTTATTTTTGAGGGGAGAGGTAAAGTTGTACCATAGGTAAAGTTTAAATTGTAACCTGCCTTGTGTCTAATCTTCCATACTATGAATGTGCATATAATAATAACGGTAGTATAATATCATTCATAGTTAAAAATTATCATTATTATAATTTGTGAAGGAATCAAATTGTAACCAGAGTCTTGGTTATGAGTCAACTTTTGCCTTTTTGTTATAAGTTTATATGTTGAGTTTGAGTTGACGAGTCAGTCAGGTTACCAGCCGACCAGTTACTGATGTTAACTCAAACTTGACTTTGAGAATACTGTATACAGGGTTATTTTTGCCCTTTCACACTTGCAAACAATTTAGCACCCTTTTAAATTCGCCCAGTCACAATTCTGTTTAAGAAATTATACAATGTACTGTGTTTTTTGAATTCGCCCCATTTTAAATTTGCCAACCTATGAGTAGGGCGAAAGGGGCAAAAATTAAATGGGGCAAAAAATTTCCCTGTATATCGTATTTAAAAAAATAGAAAAGAAGTTTAACACAACCCTATAAATTTAAATCATTTTATGATACACAGTCAAACCTTGTTATCTTGAACATGATGGGACCAAGATAAAAAAAATCTAAATATCCAAGGATTCGAAATATATAGAGTAAAATACTTCAAGAAAAGTGCCGTGGGCTAAAAATTTACTTTGACTTATCCATAGTATTCGAGATACTGAAGTTCAACTGTACTAATTATGCTGAGCCAAAAGTTTATAAAGATGCTAGTTTTGACACTTGCAGCTAGCAGAATACGGTTTTATGACAGCCATTTTACTGCAAATGATTTCTGAAATTGTACTTTTTTTTTCTAGAAAATTTGTTTCCAATCTTCCTGATAAAGGAAAGAAAATTAATCAGTTTAGACAGAAATTGATAGAATTGATAAGTGAAAAAGAAAGGCTTGTATCTGGTACATCCCAACCAAGAGGTAACACACCAACAAAAAAACAACTGGACAAAAATCCAAATATAAAGCCTACATCAAAATTTTCAGCAGTATCAAAGGACAAAGTATTTTCTGCTGTGAAAAATGAAGACACCCCAGTCAGTGAAAATGTACTTAGGGATGTGGTTACCATGGCAAATAAATCTGGTGGTTTGGAAGCAGATAAGCAAGATAATGAGAAATTTCCATTAGTTGAAGCCCCTCAAACTGCAGCACAAACATGTATAACAAGTGACTTTTCAAATTTAAGAGATAAAAGTGTACAAGGTAGAATTAAAAATGACAGAGGTGCCATCACAGAAACACGAGAACATTGTAACAGAAACAACAACATGCAGGAAACACTGAATGTAAATGTTGGAGATGTGACATTATTGGAGAAAGCCATGGAAAATATGGATATTGATCCATGTTCTTCAACCTTAGGATCTGAAGAACTTAAAAACAAAATATTGGAGAATTCCACAAAATTTGCACCATATTTTAAAGCCAACAGGTACAATACTTTGTACAATATGATATTATAAATTGATCAAATTATGAAGATATTCTACTTTGATCTTACTAATTACATCTAAATAATAGTTTCCTAAAGATACACAATGTTCAGGAACTCCCAGACAAATACAAATGGAAGTCAAGACAGGGTCATCCAATCAAAGAAGAGAACACTTCAGTATCATGTCACAGTGAGGTGAAGGACGAATCAGCTGCCACACCCCCCATATATAAATATGAAGCGGCTCAGCTAATCTCACTGAACGAGTCAATGCAGCTTCAGCAAACACAACAGAGACATCAGGAGGTATGCCATTTGATGTGATGGACAGTTAATGTACTAAATATCAGCTTGCTGAAGCTTTTATGGATTCTTAATAAACCATATTGATATAATCTTTAATTTGTCTAAGAAAATCTACTACCTGGCAGTCATGATACAAAACAAAGAATTTGTAAGACATGTTCCAGCATAATCATTTGTGAAGATCAGAACAAGTCTACTGAAGAAATTCTGATGTATACTGTGAAATCACTAATTTTCATGGGGGTTTTATTTTTGAGGTATGGAGGGGGGTTTTATTTTTGAGGTATGGAGAGACCCATTCATTTATGACCACCACGAAATGTAAAATTTTATATGCATTACAAATAAACATTCTCCAACCATGAAATCAAATCCCCACAAACCAATATTTTTTCCTCAAACCTCAAAATTTGCCCCCACGAATATATGTGATTTTACAGTATACTAGTAAACGAAAAAAAAAACACAATGAGCATACTTCAAGTATACAGAAGAATGTGTAAAGAGAAAAAAAAACTTGCAATATGTAATGCTTAGATCTTTTTCTTTTCTGAGTAAATGAAGTGTATATCCAGTATCATAAAACTTATCAATTATAATGCAGGAATTACAAGCGAGGACTGCAGCAGAAAGACTAGCCAAGTCACTCAAAATAAAGATGGAGCCATACAACCCTGAGGGAAGAAATATGGCGAATCCTTTATCATATATGATTATGTTTTACCATTTCTACATGACTTTTTAGCTCACTTGAGCCAAAGGCTCAGGTGAGCTTTTCTGATCAAAATTTGTCCGTTGTCTGTTGTCGTTGTTGTTGTAAACTTTTCACATTGTCATCTTTTTCTCCAGAACCACTGGGCCAATACAACCAAACTTGGCACAGAGTATCCTTGGATGAAGTGGATTCAAATTTATTCAAATGAAGGGCCACGCCTTCTTCCAAGGGGAGATAATTGCGAATTCATGAAAAATTTATGGCATCTTTCAAAAATCTTCTTCTCAAGAACCACTGTATTAGAAAGTATGAAACTTATGTGGAAGCATCCTCAGGTAGTGTAGATTCAAGTTTGTTCAAATCATGACCCCCAGGGGTAGGGTGGGGCAACAGTGGGCGATCAAAGTTTTACGTAGGAATACAAAGGAATATCTTTTTCTCAACAACAGCAAAGTCTTGATTGGTCATATTTATATGGAAGCATCCTCAGATAGTGTTGATTCAAGTTTGTTCAAATCATAACCCCCGGGGGTAGGGTGGAGCCACATTGGGTGATCAAAGTTTTACGTAGGAATACATAAGGAAAATCTTTAAAAATCTTTTTCTCAAGAACAACAAAGCCAATATTGGTCATATTTATATGAAAGCATCCTCAGGTAGTGTTGATCCAAGTTTGTTCAAATCATGACCCCCAGGGGTAGGGTGGGGCCACAGTGGGCGATCAAAGTTTTACATAGGAATACATTGGGAAAATCTTTAAAAATCTTCTTCTCAAGAACAGCAAAGTCTTTATTGGTCATATTTATATGGAAGGAAGCATTCTCAGATAGTGTAGATTCAAGTTTGATCAAATCATGACCCTCATGGGTAGGTAGGGGCCACAATGAAAGTTTAAACTTGTAGGAAAAAAGTCACAGTTAGTCAAAAAAAATGTGTAAGCATCCTTAGTTAGTGTAGATTCAATTTTGTTGAAATCATACCCCCCCCCCCTTTTAGGGGTAGGTCGGGACCCTTTATGCATTGCAATACTAAACTGATTTTTGCTTTTTTCCTAGCCACAGTGCTCAGGTGAGCAATGTGGCCCCTGGGCCTCTTGTTATTTTTATATAGACTTAATACACATTTTTCCTTAACCTGAGAACAGCTACAGACTCCAGGTTGACCAGATGGACACAGACAGTGACGACGAACAGGAAGTGGAGTTTTATCCTGATGCTGTTGACTGACTAATCCGTGGAAATCAAATATTGACTGTAGATACCCAAATGTTTGACCGGTGTTTTAACATTTTTGTATGTAAATGGTCTCATTAACTGTACCTTTGAATGAAGATTAAACCAGCCTGGGGGAAAATAAGTGATTTTCTGTACTATTTGCAGTTTTCCTGTGATAAAAATCCATAGCAATAAAGAGGGTTCAAATAAAATATCTTTCCATTTATAATGAAATTAAAGAAACTATCTGTTCCAAATCATTATTTGATATTGATGTGCTCATGGTCAAGTATAAGTTACTTTGGGCTGAGCCTCTACAAGTGATTAGTATGTATTATGTCTATTTGACATGACTTATCATCCCATTTGACTTGTCCCACATGTATTTTCTCTACCCTGCCCTAATCTGATTCATACTTCACCCACAGATTGTTCACTGAAAAAAGGCTGCAGTGATATTGATTATTTTTTTGGTAAAAGACAAAACACAGTTTTGTGTGCTACATATTTTTCTCCCTTTATTTCACTTAAAGAGTTCTCTTTAATAATTGGTATACAAACCAAATTTCTAGGTCAGAGTTCAAGGATACTCCTACAAGTAAGAGTCTCAGTTAACGTCCCTATGCTCCTTATATATGCGGCGCTAAGTCAAAACGATCTGGCTGTTAACCTCTAGCATGCTGAAGTAAGGTCAAGGGCAATGACTCGAGTAAATTTCTGTATAAATTCTTGTAAAGAATATATATTTTCTGCCCTTAAACCCATTCTTTATTGTGACCTTGACCCAAGTTTCTCACTAAAATGTTAAAAATAGTTTGTGGCAGTCAGATGGGTTCAATCGCCGGTGGCCTGGGTAGCTCAGTCAGTACAGCACCTAACTAGGCAAAGGGTCTTGGGTTCGATTCCCGGTCCAGCCATACATTTTCTCCTCTCCTGTTACAGATTTGGTGCCATTGAGCACCCCTAGACTTGCAGGTGAAAATCCTGCCAGTGGCAAATAATAACTTGGGTTGTGTCTTCGAGGGGGAAGACAAATTAAGGAGGGAGGAATGTAATGGTTTGGCCGTGGATATCAGCCTTGGTAGCTCAGTCGGTAGAGCACATGACTAGTGATGCAGGGGTCTCCTGGGTTCAATTCCTGGTCCAGCCATGCATTTTCTCCTTTCCTCTACAAGTTTAAAATCTTTGTTAAAGGCATATTCTATCTCCCTTTTACATTTACTGGAAGAGCTAGGCCCTTTGAGATGGTCAGCATATCAGTGATATATCTTTTGTTGGCAGAGCATATGCAAATCTATTAATGAAAATATTTTTCTTGCCAAAAAAAACCCCCCAAAACAAAAAGGTTTTGATATGATCTTTCGTAACTTGGAGAAATTTAAAGCTTCCAGTATATAATACTGCTATGCATTGTATGTGGTTATCTTTTTTGAATTTTTAAATTTCATTTGAATAATTCTAGATTACAATTCAGAAAATACAATACATATATATTTAAGTTACTTTAATTATCAAAAGAACAGTATACTAACACATTCAACGAACAATGGAATAAAAATTAAATTGAGGTATACATACACACACACACACACATATATATATATATATATATATATATATATATATATATATATATATATATATATATATATATATATATATATATATATATATATATATATATATATATATATATTATCATATACTTAATACATGTACATATGGGTGATGTCACTAAAAGTAATATCAGAAGATATTTTGAAAAAACTATCAAAATGATGGACAAATGGTTAATAAACACTCTACTAATTTGTAAGCTCTTGGTTTTTTACCAAAATTGCTAATATGTACTCAATATTGTTTTTTTTTTTAAAGAATATTTAAAACCTTCAATTCAATGTAAATTGAATACTTTGTTGCTGAACTTAATAATTACAGATACATAATACACATGTAATATTAACAAGAGGCCAATGGGCCACACCACTCACCTGAGTAACTATGGCCCTTCTGTTCCTTATCAGCATATTTTTTCCATAACTATATAACATATTGTGGTCCCACCCTAACTCCAATTGCATGATTTGAACAAACTTGAATCTACATTATCTCAGGATGTTTTATTCTCAAGAAGATTTTTCCTATATACACCCATGTAAAACTTTGATCATGGCCCCACCCTACCCCTATGGGTCATGATTTGAACACACTTGAACCTTCACTGCCTGAAGATGCTTCCATATAAATATGACTAATCATAACTTTGCTGTTTTTGAGAAGAAGACTTTTAAAGATTTTTCCTATGTAAAACTTTGATCATCCTTAGTGCTTAGTGCCTCACCCCACCCCACCCAGCTGACAATTTGAACAAACTTGAATCTACCCTACCTCAGGATGCTTCAAATTAAATTTAACTGTTTGCTATTCTTCAGAAGACTTTTAAAGAATTTCCCAATGTATTCACTCTACCCTCTGGGGTCATGATTTGAATAAAATTGATCCTACACTACCTCAGGATACTTCCATATAAATATGATAGATCCTGGCTTTGCTGTTCTCAAGGTTTTTCCTATATACATCCATGTAAAACTGGATGGATATACATCAGGCCCATAGAATTTTTCTGAGTATAGTTCATTGCTATAGTAAATTTTCCTTTATATGTTGTTTGCCCCCCCCCCCCCCCCCCCAAAAAAAAACCACACACACACACGCACAAAACACACACACACTTTATCGTGCTGTAAGATCGAGCACTGGCAAATTCCAGAATTTGGACAATTAATTTTTTTTTTTTGCTTGCCAGATTATTTAGAAACCGTTGCTACAGGCCTGTACATCCATGTAAAACGATATTGCCCATAGTAGTCCACCCTACCCCCAAGGGTCATGATTTGAATAAACTTGAATCTACACCATGTCAGGAAATTTTCATCTAAGTTTCATTTTTTCTGTGCCAGTGGTTCTTGAGAAGAAAATTTTTAAGTGACCTACCCAATTTTTACTTAATTATCTCCTCTCAGAATAGGGCGTGCACAACTGAATCCCCTTCACCAAGGATACTCTGTTTCAAGTTTGGTTGAAATTGGCCCAGTGGTTCTGGAGAAGATGAAATTTTAGAAAATTGACGATGCCAACAACAATGATGATAACTACCGGTATAATAGACAACTTTTGATCAGAAATAGCTCACTTGAGCCTTCAGCTCAGATGAGCTAATAATATTAAAACATAGATATGTATAAACAAATTATTTTGAAAAAAATGTCTATAACAAAGACTAGACTTCAGAATATATTATAGGTACAGCACAGAAACACAATTATCATATGCACATAAATTTCTTTGTACATACATATTGGAAAATTACAATTTTTTTTATTTATAAAAATCCTTAGCCACACAATAATGAACATTGATCATTTATTAGTTACAATGTAATTAACCAATTAGAGTATTTATTTCACACTGAATGAAGATGGGGTAACATATCGTTCCACAAGTCCTATACAATACATGTTGTTTAGAAACCTTGAATCCTGAATAATTGATACTTTTGAAAATTGTGATTTGATAAGCAGCAGAGTGACCAACAGCATAAAATACATAATATCACAGATTACGGCAATATAATGCCAATCTAAAGAAAATATTATACAACTTCATAATTAACTATTCTAATTTAATCACAGTAATAATGTTCAAAAATGACACGATTTATCTGGTAAATTCATTCTTAAATAAGATTTTACAGACTAGCTGGTATTGCACTTTTATAATATTTAAGGTCATACACAACGTAGATGTGAAGTACTTTACAATGTACCTTTCCCTCTGATAATTTTCCAAGAAATCTTTGAACCATCAAATGTTATTAGACAAAAAATCAGCATTTATTACCAGGAGTTTTAAACAGATATGGATTAAGTGATGAAAATTCTTGTGTTTTTTAAAGAAAAAATTAACGAAAATATAGATTTAGCTGATCTTTCCTCAAAATTTGATTCACAGGAGGTATACAGCATTAACAGGCATCATAAAATTGCCTAGAAGTCCTTCAGGTATTGGACCAGGGAATAAGAAGATATTGTTCAAAACAGCATTGCATACGTCCTTAAAATTAAAAAAAAATTACATGCAGTCTTACAAAATGGAGAATAAATCATTGTATATTTCTCCCAGAATACCCACATTAAATGTCCCCCTTTAATATCTGTATTTAAAGCAATCTTAATATAACCAATGAATTGTTTTCAATATTTCTTGAATGCTGTACACCTCCTGAATTTTCATATTCTTTTATATTTTAAATAAGCTTGAAAATCAGTTGAACTAATTTTTTTTTCATATTCTTTTACAGTTCTTTACAGTATGAATTTTAAAGCTTATTTAAAATATAAAAGAATATGAAAATTTGTTGAATATCAATGCTTGTTAAACATATACAGTTGAACTTTGGTATCTCAAACACTGATATCTTGAATACCCCAACCACTTATTTTTTAAGTATTTTACCCTTGATATCTTAAATCCTCAGATATCCTGAAGTTTTAGCTCGGTCCCATCGAGTTCGAAATAACAAGGTTTGACTGTAGTTATTCATAAGCAAATATCAACTGCTAACTTTAATATATTTTCCTTTTTTCTGAAATTCATTTTTCTTTTTTATAAAATTTTTTTTTTACCAGAAAATAAAATAAAACCTCCTCCATTTTACATAAGATCAAACAGAAGATCTCTTTTGGGTCATAACATACTGGCTAAAAATTTCCTTGTGTTTCTATCCTCCTTGCTACATATGCAAATTTTATAAACATTATGTAAACATTTAAACAGATGCACTACCTCTATACAAAAAAAAATTTCAATGAGCATCATAGTATAAAACTTTATGAATGTGCACATGAAATACTTTTCGGTTTAATTGAGACAATGTAATCTATTCATTATGCCTGAATGTATTTTGAGTGATATGGTTCCCAAGGAGAGGTCTTCTTTCTTCTTCATTGACAGAGTTATCTTCCTTTAAGCCATGAACTGGTTTTTTCAATGCATTTTCTGCAAAGCCATACACATCATTTAAGTCAAAGAATATTACAAGGCAGTCAACTTAGCAAGAATATATAAACCAAAACCGGGGAAGCAGAATGGTAATTAAATCATGCAATCTGATGCACCATTTTCCAGGCACACAATATGATAGCATGCAGCATGCTAGGACTGAGTTCTGTTGTGGAGGAGGGGCTCTCTCTCACTGTCACTGATGATGCTGCCATTTTCATTAACAACCAGACTTTTCATGGGTTTTGCTGTAATCCAAAACATAATCCACTCTCAATAAGAGAAATATTGAGGGGAATATAAGTATATTGAGAAAGCAAGGAAAACAATCAAAAAGCAAAACTTAGAGCTGATAATAGGAAGAGCTTGTTTATAATGTTGGGCAAATGCAGATAGGCTTCACAAAAGTAATACTGGCCCTAATTTTTCTTTATAAATATTTATCATCATTTTTATTAATACAGTACAAATCTATGTGACTCTATATACAGTAAAACTTGTTTAGTATGCATATGAACACGGATATAGTGAATTCATGGATATAGCACATTTTTCTTGGATCCCCAGCTATATAAATTTAACGAATTTCTTATACAGATATAATTACGGATATAGCGAAGTAATTTCACAGGTTCCAGTGACTTCGTTATAACTGAGTTTTACTGTAAATACTGCATGTAGTTGAGGGTAAAATTGAAAATTTTCACCCCAAGAAAAACCATTGTTGAAAGGTGAAGCCCATGCATAGATTCTGAAGTGGTTAACAAAATGTATAAATACTAATTGATCTTGTAAATATTTTTAAATAAAAACATGCCTTTGTGATGTGTGTAAAATTTGTTTGATAAATTTTAGCTGTATTGATAGATACAAGCTGTTTTCAAATTGGTTGACATATCCTTTATGAACCCTATCTCTACCAAAAATGATGTACTGATCTGAAGGTTAGGATTTTTGTCTCATGGCAGACCCACAAACAGCCTTTTCTGACTGAAGCAAACCTGCACAAGTTTGCACATACACATGTGTGTACCTGCACATGTGTTCAAAATCATCAAAATCATGGTGATTATTTTTACTTAAAAGTACTCATAATAAGAAACATTTCTTCTTGCATTGTTATTGAAATACCCACAAATCAGATCCTTTATATATAAGTACATGAATATCAATTTAAATAACTTAACATAGCTAAAGAAAAGCCTTAACATTACATTCAGAAAATTTTTTTTAAATTGAATTAAATGAGAAAAGTTAAACAAGAGGCCCATGGGCCTTAATGGTCACCTGAGTATCATGAGTTTTTCAGGCTATATCTCCTTTGAGCCCACCTTGAAATGGCTAAATAGACTTATATCACATAGATTCAACAGTTTGATGAGAACTCTGTAATCATTATCAAATTTATGTACTATGTCCCCTATAAATTGATGAATAATGAAATAAACATTGTACATGTATAATAAATTTCAATACATGACACCCTCCAAACAATTTTAAAGATTTTCTCCTATTTCTATATAAAATTTGATCCCCTATTGTGCCCCTTCCCCACCCCCTACTATGATTAGAAAAAAAAGTTGAATGTGCATTACCTGAGGATTTATGCTGGCATATCATGACCCAGCATAAATCCTCTGTTCTGAATGAGCAGAAGGTGATGGGTTTTCCTAGTATAAATTCCCATCCAATTTTTTTTAAATCTTATTGTGGCCCCATTCCCAGGGTCATGATTTGGAGAAAATTGAATCTGGCATTCTGCACTACCTCGGGATACTTCCATATAAATATGACTGTCAACGGCTCTGTTGTTCTTGAGAAGAAGACTTTTAATAAAAGGTTTTTCTATAAACTCCTATATTAAACCTTGATCTCCCAATGTGGCCCCAACTTACCCCCAGGGGTCATAATTTGAACTAACATGAATCTACACTACCTGAGGATGCTTCCATATAAATATGACCATCTAATGACTTGCTGTTCTTGAGAAAGAAGATTTTCAATGATTTTCCCTATATATTCCTCTGTAAAACTTTCATCCTCCATTGTGCCCCCACCCTTCCATCAGGGGGTCATGATTTGAATAAACAAGAATCTACACTACTTGGAAGAACCTTCCATATAAATCTATGACTCTGCATTTCTTGAGAAGAAGATTTTTTTGAAATTTTTCCTATGTATATATTCCTATGTTAAACTTTGATCCCCCATTGTGGCCCCACCCTCCCCCGGCGATCAAGATTTGAACAAACATGAATCTGCACTACCTGAGGATGCTTCCATATAAATATGGGTTTGTTGTTCTTGAGAAGAAGATTTTTAAGGATTTAACTAACTATAGTCCCAGGTAAAACTATGATTCCCATTGTGGCCCCACCATTCCCCCAGGGGCCATGATTAGAACAAAACTGAATCTAAACTAGGTCAGGAAGCTTTCATATAAGTTTATCTCCTATTGGCCAGTGGTTCTTGAGAAGATTTTTTAATGACCCCACCCTATTTTTGCCTTTTCTTGATTATCTCCCCTTGGAAGGGGCACTGCCCTTCATTTGATAAAATCTAACTCCCCTTCAGCCAAGAATACTTTGTGGCAAATTTGATTGAAATTGGTCCAGTGCTTCTTGAGGAAAAGTTAATAATGTGAAAAGTTTACACACAAGATGCACACCCGTACACCTGCATGACCAAGGACTAAAACAGATAGCAAAAGGTCACCTATATGACTCAGATGACCTACAAAGATAAAAAGAGAAAGCAACTTTTCAAAAAAAGCAGGTAGCAAGTCAAAGCTAGCTGCTTCTCAGACGAACAGTATAAAATACATATAAAAATTAAATAAATGAATGCAAAAGTTCAGGAAATTGCATGTGATATTTCCTTATTAAGGAAGACAAACACTACCTACCATTGTTTGACCTGACTCCAATTTTGCTTGGAAGAAGAGTCAACAGTGCTAGCAATGCTAAAGCTGCCACACCCCCAGGGACAAAAGTCAACACCAGGCGATAGTATCCTTTACAACTAGGACAACAAGCTCTGACAAAAAAAAAGTATCATAGTTATTTATTACATATATACATTACTTAAATGTCTGTGATTTTTGCCTGAGGCCGTTAGACCGAAGGCAAAGTTTGATTCGAGGGGTCGACAAAATGAATTTTACTCAAGAACACAGTCAATAAATGTTTTGTTATACCTTTTGCTTTTATTGTGATATATCTTGCTCTGTCCTCCCTATTTGCGATAATATGTTAATTCCATATCTGTTGAACACCAACGAATGCAAATAAGATATGGCTGATCCCCCCTATGTGACATAAAAAACGTCATGGCGGTCCAATATCTCATTGACAGATCCAATATCTCACTCTGCAGTCAAACATCGATTTTTTTATGACCGCTCAGTAAAACATTGGAAATACATGTATTAGACTTCTTTCAATATAGATTTATATAGGAAGCAATTTATTAAGGTATAACAATGAAAATTCCTGTTTGCTAATTACACTTCTTTAGTTCTAAATTGCATCTTGGCACATTTTGTGAATTTATAAAATTCTTTCAAGAATTTGTTTTTCAAATTTGAATTTTTAATATTACTCAGTTGTTTAATATAATATATTCTTATACCTTAAGTTTAAAAAATTTGTTCCTATATAAATCATTACAAATAAAAGTAACATTTCCAATGTTTTACTGAGCGGGCATAAAAAAAATCGATGTTTGACCGCGGAGTGAGATATTGGACCTGTCAATGAGATGTTGGATTGCTTACATCACATAATGGGCGGGGTCAGCTAAATCTCATTTGCATTTGTTGGTGGTCGACATACATGTATGTCAAAAAAAAAAAATAAAATAAGTAAATAAAAGGTATAACAAAACATTCATTGACTGTGTTCTCGGGCAAAATGCGTTTTGTCGACCCCTCAAACCAAACTGTTTGCCTTTGGCCTAACAGCCTAAGGCAAGCAGTTTGGTTCTTGAGTCTGACAAAATGCATGTTGCCCTCGAACCCAGTCAAAATGTATACTGCTTGTGCCTTTCAAAGACCTTCTTTGCTCAGATACTTTAATACTCTCATTGCATTGTGTGATATGGGATCAATGCACAACTCTGAGATTTAATTAATACTGGTACAAGTGAATTTTTGTGCATTTGCTTGGTAATATACTGTACAGCAGGAAATTAACTCGCGGAGTTAATATTCGCTATATTCGCGGAAATAAAAATTCCGTGAATTCAACATACAGTGAATAATTCTTCAAAAATTGATAAGGATAAATTGAAATATTACCGATATCTGTGATTAAATTCGGTAACTCTATTTGTGTTTCTTGCAAACATAAAAGCAGTAATTGATATATAGAGGAGATGTAGACTGTCTTCCTAATTATGCGGGTGAACGGATTAATTACTAAGACGTTAACAATTGATAAATAAACATCTATAACATTCAATTCTGCCACCCAGTAGAGGTGCGATGTAATTATCTATAAAACATGTATTGTTAGATTTCACCCGTGCGTATCACTCAGTCCTACATGTATTATCTTTAATCAAGGCACTTACGTTGTAAAGACAACACTGTTACACATTAATTAAATTTTATTAACAGTTCAACATTTTGACTATCGGTAGTGACAACTGATTTAGATTCAAAGGGATTTAAATATACTGCAGTAAATACTACTCTGTACTCAACTCAAAACGTACCTATGAACAAACACCTGCCAAATGGCTTCTTTTTTTACATGAATGTTTTGGATACGACTTGAAATCACTTGAATAAATCACTCGAGTATAGAATCATATGTATTTCAAAAATATTTAATAAAAAGAAAGAAAACACGAGAAAGAAAGAAGAAAATTTATCTGAATGAGTAACATTGTACATCGTATGATATTTTATCTTCTAATCCAATCGGGATTCGTTCTATTTAATCGGGTTCATAATCGACAAAATACGCAAGAAAAATATTTGCAGTGCTGAAAAAGTTTTTGTATAATTTTTCCTTTCCGCGAATTCAAACGACCGCGATTTGCTGCAAGTTGAACAAATCGCGAACTTTTCCAACCGCGATTTTAACCTGCTGTACAGTACGTATACTTATTTGAAAAACACTTACACACAAGGATGCAGATGTTGTATCAGCACAACCGCAACTCCATTTGATAATTTGTCAGTAAAACTCATGGCACCATAAACAAATGCTCCAGATTCCTACAATATATAACTAATGGAGTGACAGTTAACTTTAAAAGTACTAAAAAAAAAAAAAAAAAAAAAAAAAAAAAAAAAACCAGACTTGAAAAAAAAATACAAAGACAATCTTGAAAGTGAAAGTTAACTTCTATGTCAATGTACTTGATGCAAAATCTTCCACTTACTTACACTCATTCCATGTTTCTAGAGAAAATCTGCCAAACATTCAATATTCAATACTCAACTTAAGCTATTGAAGATCATTTTAAAGCCCTACCCTTCCTACATTACTTACAACATTGTTGGCAATAAGATCAGAGGTCATGGCCAGTGAGGTCACCAACATTGTTGACCCTCCCAAACCAAGCAGGACAACAGCCCCATACACCTGTTTGGCTGTGTCCTCACTCAGAAAATAGATCCATACACATGCTCCAACACCAAAGAATAGTCCTACGGCATAAGTAGCCTGAAAAATAGTGCTCAGAGTAATCATTTCAGCATGCTTCTCTCTTATATTTCCCATATTTTATTTAAAAAAGGTTATAGCTCCATTTTCCAACAGTTCCTGCTTTCTTTCTGATATAAACTGTGTTTGGTTCAAGTTTCTGGTAAAGCCTAAAACTTACCTTTCTTCCTAGAATGGAGTTGATTGGTCTCATGGCAACAGATGCTATGAAACCCGAGACATACACAACTAAAGGACAGATGGCTACAGTATCCTGAAACAAACCCAGAAATATTTAAGTTTTTTATGTTTTGCTGAAAATAAGATATACATGTATACATATGTTGGTTTTTTAAATGCTTGAAGGCATTTTCAAGTCAAGAAAGTTGATGGTAACTGACCTTTGGTAATAGAAGAGTTTCTGTGACATATAAAGGGAGATAAATCTGAGATACATTTACAAACAGCCTGGTGCACATGTACACTAATGCAATCTACAAAAAAAAATTAATCTCTGATCATATATAAGTACATGTAAAAAGCAGTTCATGGAATAAGTACCCCATGTATAGTATTGTTCAAAATGAAACAAGAAATAGTCCCAGTCATACCCTGGACAATGCTTTGTATGATTGTTTGGGCACTCGGGTCATCTTTATCATCACTGTTTGTACTATTCATTACATTTGCAAGGTAATCCTAATAACTTTACAACTGTTCCCTTTTCAATACAGTAAAACACGCTTATAATGAATTGACGCTTATAGCAAAGTGATTTTCATTTCATATTTTATTAACTTTAAAATTATATGTTGTAAACCTATTGGATATAACAAATTATGCTTAACATAACGAAGAGGAATTGTCCGTCCCTGGCACTTCATTGTAAGCATGTTTTACTGTACTCAAACTTCATGAATTTTACACTTTTTAAGACATTTGTCTACCTGATAAAACTGCATTGTTTTTAACCAACATGACCATGTCATTCTGCTGCGAAGAGCTGTGGATTTTTCTATACTGGTGGAATATCCATCAGCATAAGCATTCTCTGCTGCGCTTAAATCCTCATGCTGCACTGGCTCACGGACAATGAAATGGAAGGCAATACTGAAGACAAGGCCCATCCCCACAATAATAAATACGAGATTCTGAATTAAAAGAGAAATGAAGAGCAATTAAAGACAAAGACCCATCTTCACAATAATGAATACAAGATTCTGAATTAAAAGAGAACTGAAGAACAATTAAAATAATTTTTAAATTACATGTAATAAATTCCTAAAGAAATGATATGCTTTGCATTTATTCTGACTTGTTTATTCTAAGGGAACAGAGTGGCAATTTTCTGTTTGCAGGAATGCCCAACTCTCTTGACTAAGTATACATGTATATATGGGAAAATCAACAATGTCAGGGAAATATAATAGAAAAGGTCATTGTTACAAAGCCTGTGGACAGCTAAATGCAATGTTCTTGACATGGCATAATTATATGTAAATTTGATTAAATTATTTTTTATTTTTTTCTTGAAAGTGAGCTAAATGCTACAGAACATGTACATTAAGCAATTTGGATGGATATGCCCTGTTCATACAAAGAGCAGTATATGCCTACAGTCTGAAAATCTTGGCCTACTCTGAATTTGAGAGAGTCCACGGATGTTAGCTGTGTTTCCGTGCTGTCACTTTTATCACCATGAACTATAAATAACAACCAGAAGATACCAAACACGGCCAGATTGGACAGGACGGTAAAGGCATATCTAAATATAGTAACAAATAAAACATCAGTTTATAAAATTGACCATTGTGACTAACACAAAATATTTGCTGCTAGTACATGGATAACTTGAACACACATTTTTATTTTGAACCCTGCAAAACTTGAAACTTAAACTTAATATCTGTAGTGCCAAAAATTATAAAGGCTCGATCCTGGCCTCCGTTTATACTCAGTTTGTAGGTATATGTATATGTAAAATAAGCAATCAGGAATTTGCAAATACAGTCAAACCTCGTTATCTCAAGCTCAACGAGATGAATCTTCCAGATATCTGAAGATTTGAGATATTGAAGGTAAAATACATAAGGAAAGAGTGATTGGGACTTCCAATTGACTTTGACATATCTACATATAATGTATCTAAGTATTCAAGATATCAGTGTTTGAGATACATCTGTTCAACTAAATACTCAAGTCTGTGCTTGTGTACACTTCCTCATTAAAATATACATTTCAGAAATGGATCTTAAGTTTGTGACATCCCCACAAGGTACACTTCTTTGTGAGCTGTTTAATAAGCTTATCATAGATACATTATTGCTGTCCTATCAGTGCCTCTCAGGTTTTTATAGATTTGCTTAAAAGGTCCATTGAAATTTACATTTTATCACATGCACTGATCATGTGCAAGCCATATAGAAATTTAATCCCACAGGTGAGTTATCCCGACAGTATGTTAAATAACTTCAAGTTATCTCTAAAGCAAAGGGTTAGGCCACAGCCACCACCTTAAATTCTGTTAATCATCATAAAATAATAAGAATTCTTTCTTGTACATTTCTAATTCAAAGTCAAGTTTTGTAAGTGGTATTTTGTAAACCCACCTAATTCCATTCAGTTCTACTCTTTCATTTTCATCCTGTGTGAGATCAGGGATGAGTGACAGATGTGAAATCTGAGTGGAAGCCCAGCCAAACTGGAAGATCACCACAAAAGGTGCAAAATAAATAAACTTTGACCAGTCCGGAGCATTGGAACAGGTAATACAGTCATTAAAGACAAACGGATAACTGCAAGCCACACAGATTGTACCTTTAATCAAAAATACACAAATTTCATTAAAATACAGAACTGAATAATGTTGAATCATACAATAGTTGTGTAGACTTAGAACATCAGTGGAATTTATGAATACTGTTTACAGGGTTATTTTCACCATTTCACACTTGCAAGCAATTTTGCCCAGTTTTAAATTCGCCTGGTCACAATTATGTAAAAGAAAATATACTGTATTCTTTGAATTTGCCCTGAGCATTTTTCCTCTTTTTTTGAAAATAACTAAAAATTCAAATAGTTTGTGATGTCACCGAAACAAAAACTGATGATAATCTACATCCAAATGATATTCTTTGTGATTTTATTCACAATTGGCATTTGCATACATTTCTAGAGATTTTCATACCACCTTCACCCATAAGGAATTGAGGTATGTTTAGATGAAACTCACAGGTCCAGTGGTTTTTGAAAAGAATATTAAGGATGGACCTGTGTCGTTCTATGTCAAAGCAGCTTTATTTGATGTCACAATAGCTGCGTTCTTTTTTATCAGTTGATTTTTGCATTAATGTGCTCGGAACTGCGATATAACATCGTTAGGGATAACACTGCTAATAAAGTGTACAAGAAATGTTAACAATTTGCAAAAAGAAAATTTAAATTTAAAATAATAATGGTTTTATTTGATTTAGAATGTGTTATTAGAATTCTCTTTTGTTGATTGATAACTCATAGCAATAATACTTGACGATAGCATGCTGTGAAGTGCAAAATGCAGCAATCAAAGTAGCTAAAACAGGAAAAAAAATTTAAATTTTGTGATTAAATATAAACATTAATTGTATTTTCACAATAAAACTAAGACAAAATTTTTAAAAATGCACTTGCACCTAATCATGCTTATAGATTAGTAAATTTAATTGTCAAGCCATTTCCAACAGGTGTTTGTAATGAGGAAGGGGAGAGGGAGTAAAAGAATGATTGAAATCTGGTAGAAAAAATCAAATCAGTGTAAACAGTCATTAATCTAAACAAACTACTTGGTCTTTTATTCATGTGTTCATCAATGCTTACTTACTTTTGTCTTAATGCAGAAAGGTCAATATTTTTGACACAACAGTACAAAAATTACTGAAAACTACATATTTCTTGTTTATTTTCTCATAAAGGTATACTTTTTTCTTTATCTAAATAAAAAGATAATTCATTTCTTCCAAAAAAAATATTAACCACAACATTTACACACAAAGACTTTTTAAGATATTACCTATAATACATAACAAAATTGTTAAAAATTCGTCGGAGTGATACTCACATTGTGCTCCCTTATAATTTTTCATGCAAGATGAATTATAATAAATTTGCCTTCATTTTAAAGGCAGAGATTTTTTACCGGGTGGTAAATTCCAGGTGAGGGAGGGGTTTATTTTGTACAGGTGTGAATGCCTTGAGGGCTAGCCGTCTACCTGTGGTCGTTTGTCCTCTAATCCCTATACACAGGAAGTGATTTAATACACAGTAGAATACCCAAGAAGTCAAACTATGAAACTTTACCCATGTTGGGATTTTGAGATTATTTTAAATTAGAAATAAAAAGTTGTAATTAAAGTTTAATCTCAATATTTTTATTAATTTATAATTGAATGTGTGTCAAAACATTCCCACCCATTAAAACAATATTATTATTTAAAGTATTTGTTGAGCTTTGAAAAAAAAAATATACCTAATTTTGATATAATATATTATCATAAAGAATATCACTATTATTACAAATACGAAAGGTGTATGTGTATATACATGTGTATATACTCTGTTGTTTATACCATGTGTGGTAAATATCAAAGGATCAAAAGTTAATTGGAAAGTCACCACGAGTGCCAAACAAGGTGTACAGGGTATACACAGGGACTAGTAAGTAAGTGTCAATCAAGTTCTAGCACCCAATGATGTACCTTAATGCACTTGATTGACAGGGATACACAGACCAGGTATTTTCGAAGGCGGTGCTTAAAATCTCTGCCTTTAAAGATGTAAATCAAATAGTTTAAATAAATGTTGATTTTAAAAGTGATTTGGCACATTGGTTTTTTTTGACATTTTTTGCAGAATCGAAGCTGTCTTGAAATAATATTTTTTAGCATTTCACACTGTTTTTGCATGTGCTGCTGTGTAAAAATTAAAGGTATTATTTTTATTGCCTAAAATTTATAGGTAAGTTGCAAGGAAAGAAATGTCGAAAGTTTCAAAATTTTCACACAAAGACTTTTCGGACATAGGTCCCCCCTTCAGTGGAAATTATAAAAAGTTTAAATATGATAGATAACAGATGGATGACTGATACTAAATTACTATCAGAAACGCTCACTTGAGCCTTTAATTTAATTATGTAAGCTAACAAATGTACATACCAGAACTCATACAAAACATGAATTTCATTTGATAATTCTAACAGGCAGGTGGTGTAGATATTTAAAAAAACATGGAACAAAATATCTACATAAGTACAATTTTTATGGCACTTAAGAAGTGAAGTTTTTCAAATATTTAATCTAAGTATAAATACATGTACATATATGTAAAAGTGAATTTTCCACTCACCAACTAGATGCCAAGATTTTCTTTTTCCTAGACGACAAAAACCTCTTGTGTTGTCAGATTCATAGCCAATAAAAGGTGTGAATAAAGCATCACTCACTTGTCCAATCAACATCAAGTATCCAGCTAAATTATTATTAAAGTTCATCACTTGATGAAAGTAAACAATCAGGTAACTGAACCATACAGAGGCTGTGAGGTCATTGAGAACATGCCCAACACTGTAGCCTAGTCTCTGGGTTAATGGTAAACCCATTCTGTCAATGATTTCACAGCAATATTCTGCTTTTGTTTAATTGAACACACTTTGAGAAAGTTTAGAGATTATGGTGAAGTAAGGAAGTTTTTTGTCTTCATCCAAGGTAACAGCAAAAGTCACTGCTTATGTGATGTATTCACACTTCCATTCCATTTTAATTGATCACCTGCAAATAATTTCAAACTTGCATTCTCTCCTCACCAAGCAATATACATTTTAATTATACAATCTAGTTGACTTTTTATTTGTCAGAGATTGGTACCTTAATACCTGAATTCATTTGTTACATCAATCTGTTGTCCATTATTTTTAAATGTAGATCCAAGTTCTTACACCAACCCTCTTTATTACTGTATAAAAGAAGACTGCATAATAACTTACATGTATGAGCCGGGTTGTTTCTAAGACCCGGAGGGCCAGGGAATTTTCCTACCTAGTTGTGATGTTGTAATCCCCCAGTTATTCTGGTATTTTCCCTCAGCCTTCTTTTAGGGAAGGAACCCCAGACCCCCTCTACTTTTTTAAATTTTAATGTCCTCTGCTATTGGCTACCCTGATAAGGGTCTACTTTTCCTTGGAGAATCTGAATTTCTAGCATGTACCAATTACTATATTATATTTAATAGCACTATATGTCTTAAGAGAGTTCTGGATCCCCTCCCTCAGTGAATCCTCTCTTGGTTTGGGGGTGGGCAGGGGAGGGTATATTTCTCTTAAAATTGTTAAAGAAAGTTAAAATACAACAATTGTCCATTTAAAACAAAAAGAGATTCTAGTAACTCTTCCATGCTTAAAATTAATGTTAGTTGGCCACGTCTATACCTTGACTTCATTACTATTAATGTGTGAACACCAAAGTACTCAAATTACCAACATATATTTTATATGTGTACTGTACAACATCCTCGCAAGCCAGGGGTCCTGAGTCAACACGTTGCCGTTGGACCCCTGGCATATTTCATTCAATATTTGTGGGCTTGCTTCTCTCATTGAGAAGCACCAATCAAATTAAAGGTTTCATAAATAGTTAGATAAGGATTCAGTTGACACCTCAAATGCAAGTGTTACAAGTTGTTTATCAAAGAATGGCTTAATGTGATTGGTTGAGAGATAAGAAAAACAATCAAGATTTGTAATTTTTCCGAAAGACGTCGCTACAGTCAACCCACAAATATTGAATGAAATATGCCAGGGGTCCAACGGCAACGTGTTGACTCAGGACCTCTGGCTTGAGAGGATGACTGTACAATGAATCAAACATCGTTTCATCAAAAGTAGACTAGCTAGATCATTTGCCACAGACTTAGTTTTATCTGCTGCTTTTTTGTAAAACGATGAAAAAAATTATATATATGACCAAGAAAAGTTTTAATGGCTATACTGTAACAGTATAATATCAATAAACTATAATAATTTGATTTCGAACATAAAAAAATTAATTTAATTCTGATAGCAGTTTAAGTCGAGTTAAATATATTACATCCTTTACCTGTCAATGCTGCTGCGATTGTAAATAGTTCACGGCATGGTGCGTTCAGATGACAATCACGTTAACAGCTGTAATTGATCAATCCGCTACTTCATTTTGTAAGTCATGTGCTTTTTGTGAAACGATAAACAATCCATGTGACAGGACACGTGCTTCCTCTTCAAATTATTCCATTCGGCAAACCTCGGCTGATTCCGTTACCTTCATCAGGGATGAGGTACGAATCGGCCGAGGAGTGCCGAGTGCAAATTATTCCTCCGTCGGCAAACGGATCACGTTCGTCCTTTTCCGTCACCGAAAAAAAAGAAGACTCGGAACCACAGGCAAGTTTCGTATATGGGCCACCTATTTTTAATATATTCGATCAGTGCATATTATCTATTCAAGATATAATACTAAAGTCAGGTACTCTTCACACAATTGCTCCGAAGAAAATAGTTCCATTCATGATCAGTAGATACAACATTACAACAAATGTTAAGAATAATGATGTATATTTAATTCGTTAAAGAAAACAAAATTAACGTTAAAAGATTTTAAGAAAATCACTTTTCCCCCAGAAAAGGAAATAAAAAATTTTCATATTCCTACGCTCGCTGCCTCCTCAGTCTTTTTCACGAAAATATGTAGGTCATCCTTCGATTGATAGTGATAAATCTTTTCACCAATTATATACCTGTCATGATTATTGTTCGTTAATTGCCGTATATTTTCTTTTGAGTGAGAATGTTAATCATTAACTATGTGTGTTTTTTTTCTCTTTTTTTTAAAATAACGGAATGGATATTATGGTTAAACACCTGCAATCGTAACTTCTCGGCAAAGCAACGAGCTCGTCGGAAAGGATCTTCGCACGTGTGCAAACCTAGTCTATTTGGTCTTGCAAGCATAGGTATGTGCACCGTTCGCTAGCGAAGCTTAGATCATGTAGAATGGGTATCAGTATTTGCTACGGACATGAGGAAGAACTATACACCAGTTTCATAACAAGTGCAGGTTTTTTACTCAAGCCCTATAGACTGGACTAGAGGAGCTGAGTTATCTAAAACGATGCTAGGTCATTGCACTACTCAGTTTATAAACACGAAAATATACTATTTTTGTAAATAAAAACATTTCTAGAAACAAAAATGAAGTTTATCTTCAAAACGTCTCTATATTCAAAGTCTATATAAAGTTTTAAATGTCGGATTTTATTCTATGACGAAGGAATGTTCAGTGACGCTCCACAGCCGCAACCGATCTCGCGCTTTACTTTGCGTTTAACAACGGCCGTCAATGCATCTCTAGACGAGTTCATTGATTACTCTTGTTGACCCATCTTTAACATATGCCTATACTTTGAGTGATAGTACTTTAATAGCACAAAATTAAAAAATAAATTAAAATCTATCCTTGATAGATCTATAGTTTTGCTATTTAAAAAATTGGGCTATCTTTGATCTTTGCTTGGACTTGTTTCGAATTTTTACAGAAGATTCTATCATTGGAAAGTTAGATGGTACACATGTAGCACAGGCCCATAGTACGCGGGATTTTTTCGGAGCCCTCCCCCCCCCCCTTTCACTTTGAAAACGTTGCTACAGGCCTGTAACATGCTATTTGGATTAAAATATTTCTGAAAATGAGTGAGCTGTTAAATACATCTTTAAAATTATACGGTTGATTATATTTAGTCTATGTTCTATGGGAAATTAAAACTATTTTTTAGGCATCTGCAACGTTGTGATAATAAGTCACTATACACGCATGTAACGTTATATATGTACATGCAGTTTTCTTAGTACATGCATATATTTTAATCAACAAAAGATGTTGAAACTCAGTAGCCTAAATATTATGTCATTTTAGGATATTTATGGCCATTGTATAGTTGACTTTCTACAGCTTGAGTATCTCTGACGTTTTATCAGTAAATAGTTTTTTTTTAATTAGAAATTATCTGAGCATAATGAAAATTCGAATAAATTAAAAGTCGAATATCTTGGATATGGGGTAACCCATATCTGTTCTTGTTACCACAAAAATAAGTAGGTGCCCCGTATACGAAACAAGTGCCTGTGCTCGGAACACGGCTAATATATTCTCTGTGGAGATGCGAAAGCCTGACCACTTCTCTAAAGAAAGTTATGGCATGGCCGTAGGAACGGGGGGGGGGGGGTAGGGGGAATTTTTCCGATATATAGATTACTATAGAAAACATAGATACTATATGCTTGTGCCCCCTCAATAAAAACGTCTGATGACTTTTTTTTGGCTTGTCAAGGAATTTTTGGTAGTTGATAGTTCCCCCACAACTGAAAATGTGTGGCTGTGCCCCCCCCCCCCCCAACTGAAATTGCTTCCTACGGGTCTGTATGGTGGCATATTTCTGTCCCCCTACACGCAAGATAAATTACATTTGTTTACATGCGAAACAAAAGTATGTCAACATGCAAGATACATGTAATTATGCCTACATGCAGAATAATTATGTTGACATGCAATTAAGTTACCAATCTTTTTAGAGAGTCGGAATTAACATTGGTAAATTTACATATTTACACCAGTATCTGTCATCATTTGTCCACGATGCAACATGATCATTCTGTAGACATGCTACATAATATTATTTCAGTTAAAGGAGGTTGGATCCTGCTATCAAGAGTAATTTGAAAAAAAATTTATCAAGTATATTTTTAGAATCTACACACATCAGCTGCACATAGCTCAATTAAAACTCGAAATACAAAATGGGGGTTAATGCCCTTCTTTTGGTGATATGGAGCATTTAACAGTTTAATATGACCTTTTTGTACTATAAATATACCATAGGAGTCGGCGTATTTATCTATAAAACAACGTAAACAACAACCAGTGCTCCCAAGCTCACTGGTTGTTGTTTACGTTGCTTTATGGATAAAGGTATCACACTGGTAATTGACCAATCAAAATGAACTTAGTCAATTGTAGTTCCATACATATAAAATTAATTTTTCTTTCTTTTGATAATTTTTTTAATTTTCTTCCAGGCTATTTTTACAACTTTGGTACCTGTGCCTATTAAATTTAATGTACTTTGTAAATAAATAAAGTTTTTTGACAGGAACTATTTTTTTCAGGGCATAGGAGGCTACTTCCTGGGGTGCACTGGAGCTGTTTATAAACACATTGAAAACACGTGGATTTGAGGGTAGCCCTGTTTGCAGATGGAAAAAATCAGAAAATGCCGTGTAGGTACCCTGTTTTTTGGACTCGGCTAATGAGAGAGGTAATGTTTTATACTTCCTGCTAAATATTTTTTCATGAATTAATTTACCTGATTTTTTAAGATTTTTTTTCCTATATAGAAACATATAGTGAAAACAATTACCGGTGTGATACCTTGAAGGTGATTGTGTAAAATCATCTGCATCAATATAAAAGGCTGTTTTAATTTTTAAAAGGCATATTTCAACAAAATATGTCATTTTATGAACTTTCTGTGTGAAAGCACATATTTTAAAAATTAGAAGTAGAGTTGAATTGAATTTTTAGAGATTTCTGTGAAAAATACTTATAATATATCATGTTTTACCCTCAAAACTTTAAATTATGACTTTCAAAGTAGGATTATGCATCTGACATGTAGAAAGAAGTTAGAAAATGTTGGTTTTTTATTTTAGATGACTTTAAACTATGTGCACCACCTGACCGCAGTCAATTATAGTGTCTACAGACTTTGCCGTAAAAGTACTTTAGGCTGATTTTTTCAAGAAAAGACTAATTCTGGGATTGCGAATGAGTTTTCAACAAAAGTGACAACTGCGATAAAATGTGAAGAAGTAAAACATTTTTTCACAGAGTGATAAATTTTACAGAGAGTGGATTTACTTTCATTTTATTCACTTGAAGTAATGCATGTATTACTGCAGTGGAGGAATATAAATAATGAAATGAGGTAAATTTGTCTAATAAAAATAATGCACAAGTAAAATTTATTTAGAATTTTTCAAAAATAAGAAGCTTATGACCAAAAAATGCATAAATACTGTCAGGGCATGAGAGTGAATACTTATTCAGAGTTCTAATCATGTAGCACACATGTAGTACAGAATGTCACTTAGCACCATGGTATGCCTGTTATGGTTCTCTGGACTTTTTGCATGCTTACGCAGCTGACATCCATGATTTTTCAGTTTGTCGGAGAATGTGTTTTGTCATGTTAGCACTTTTATGTAGGTTTTGACCCTCTCTTTTAAATTAAGTCTCAGTCAGGATGCTTATTTCAGCATGATTTGTTAAGCATATTAATATACTGAAATATTAATAAATTACAAATTAAAGTGATGAAGAAATTTGATACATTTACACAATCAAAATATCAGAATAACCATAATTCAGCTAATAAAGTGCCCTGTTTTTCTTATGTCACTTCCTATAAATTTTATCAGCAGTTTTTGTACACCCACCCACCCCCAAGAACCATGTAGGATGGCCTGATATTAGTCTTTTTGTTGCATTTTTTCACATTTGAAAGTGTTAAAACTCATAAAAATGTTTAAGATTTATATTTTGAAATTTAAATGTTGAATTTTTATGTAAATTTGGTGAAACCAAAAGCTGTAATCTTGAATTAATCATGCAAATTCATCAAACACCTTTGGAATTCCTGAGTAATTCAATGAAAAGAGGATAATTATGCATGTTCAATTGGAATTTCATGGCTAATTTGTGTCTGCAGAGAAAGCCAGTTACATAAATCCAAACAATTACATCTGAATTGTTTCCTCCATTTTCTTATCATCAAAGCAAGTTTAATGGAGTGTCAGAGCTGTCCAGATTCTCCCTAGGTGCTGATATCATTTGGACTGCCCTGTGTTACAACACAGCTTTTAGATAAACTTCTGCACATCAGCTTGTAGACAAGTACCTAGGCTTTATTTGGAACATAAATTGACCAGATGCAGATTTTATTATCAGTCTAATATTTAACAATTTCTGTGAATTCTGTCATTCTTAGGAGGGCAAAATGCAATTTTGTTATGTAATAATTGCATAATGGTCTCAGACTTGTGAACTATTTTTTGTTTGTTGTGAAGAACAATGTATATACTCTCCACG